TGGTGGGAAGGGTCAGGACTCAAAGATTTTCAAAACCAGGAGACATAGGGGATGGGGGGAATGAGAAAAGGAAAAGAGAAGAAGAATGTGCTGGGTAGGAGAAAAGAGGCCAGAAGGGAACATAACTCGTGTGATATTCAGCTCTGCCCATGTTTCAAAGGTCTTTGGTGTCCAGAAGGACCTGAAGTGCAGCGGCACAGTTTGAGTTTCTTCCTCCTCTAGCACCATTCCACATCAGACATGGAGCTTTCTGCTGGATTGGTCGAGTGAGAATCCAGGATACTGGATTGCTAACTTTTGATAATCCATGTGAGGGTCTGAAGAAATTCTGGGCTTCCTTCTGTTTTAAAAGAGTACATGTTGGCTTTGGTTTATTTTTGTTTGAGCCAGCATACTTTCCAGGAGAGCTCTTTGAAGGGTATTGCTGCAGTGGCAGCATCACAGCATGCTGATCAAAGCCAAGGATACCAGTGCAACTTGAGTTCACTTTTTGTGTTTATGCACAATAGATTTAACAACTTTGGAATGCTTATCTCTGCAGCCTTCCTAGTCCATTGTCATAATTTTTAAGGCATAGAATATGCTGACACTAATCCAGGAGCAACAGAACAACAACAATTATGATATTGCATTTTTATTACTGCTGGTGTTCAGCTTCATGCTTACTTGAACCTGGTGTGTTTTCTTCTTCATAATACAAATTTATCCTTGGTAAGAACTAATTTAGCTCCATTTCTATAGAATATTTGTAGGGAAGTGTTTAAGAAAGCATCAACAGAAAAGAACAGTGTAAAATGAAAAAAGTGAATCAGGTGCCTGTGATTTAGGCAAGGCAGATTTCCAGGATTATTGAATTTCACTCCCAAGGTCAGTGTAGCATTCTGTAATTGAGAACAAACAGGCACTCACTGTGCTCAGTGATTCATTGAGAAGTCAGAAGTAGTAAGTGTAACCAGGTCTTTTCTTGAAAATACAATAATCTGAGCTACACTATATAGGAAAAGAAAGTACATTATTGTTTTACAATTATGGCAGAAAATGCATTTTATCATAAAACTAAGTCAATATCCTTAAAAAATCCTCCCATAGATGTGCATATGGTAGTTAATTATTACTGTATAAGAAGGTAGAAATCTCATTTCCTTGTTTTATTCTGGCATTGCTTTAATGGGGGCATTTGCACAATGCAGGAAAAGAGAACCTGGCTGAGCCTAGTGGCAAAATGAGATCTATGGTTTCATGTCTGTTCCCAGTGAATTTCTTTTTTTTAATTGAGAATTTACTTTCCTTTTACCTTGGTCCACATTTCTGTGTCTCTCTGTAGTGCTTTCCTCTGAATCCTCTTCCCTCTGGCTGTCAATGGATTTTGTTTCTGTAGCCTCTTTTGAGGAAAGCTATCTCCTATTTCAGTCTCAATAGAAGTCTTGTTTCTGCAGTGGGTGAAAAGGAGTAGCTCTGCTGTTAAACTGAGCCAAGACAAAACTCTGCTCACTGCACTCACACTCAGCAAGGCCCTGGTTTGTAATCAGCTGCCTCAGCCATCCCCCAGGGCACCCCAGACACTTTTGGCCCAGTTTGACCAAAGGAAGGGGAGAATTGCAGTGATGAACACTTAAAATTTCACACCGAAAGAAAGCACTTGGGATTCCACACACGTTGGGTTTCTGTGCTTGTGTAAAAATAAAATTATATTTTACTTCAGTAAAACAAACAAAAAAAATTATTCTTATACAGAAGTGTGGTTACTTTTGTCTTGTTAACAACCAAGTAGCTCAAGTTATGTATAAACAGAACTTCTGTCACTGTTTTTCATTGGTAGAAAGTTAAGCTATTACTATTAAAACTTAGCACAGAACATTAGCATGTTCTGGAGGCAAAATATAGCACAGCCAACATTAATTATACCAGATAGAATAAAGTAATAATAAAGAAGTACCTTCTAAACCACAGTGTGAATATAAAGAACACCAAGAGCAGCAGCCTTTCTTCATAAATCTCACTTTATAATAATAAAATGTCACTATTCCTCCAAGGCTTCTTCCAAGTAATAAATTTAAAGTTGGACCATTGAATCAAGGAAGCCACAATCCATATTTTATTTTGTCAGTGAATTCCATGATGCACTGGATAATGAATTTACAATGTAGATGTGGGACTAGGAGACACCTCCTGAATCTTTAAACTCTGTCCTTAAATAATCAAGGAAAACTGGTTGACAGCTGTCTATAAACAGACACACAGGTTTTATGGACAGGTAATAAATTGCTAATAACACGCTAAATACAGGAGGTTTTCTAACCTCCATCTGCTGTGCTACAGCATCTCTTCACAGTGGAATGTTCTTATCTAGATAGCAGTAAAATGAATATTTTTAAACACCACTGGATGCCAGCAAGACCCACATACATTAAAGATATATATTACTGTCTTTGACATGACCTTGCCCCTTTGAATATTTCATAGAACCTAGAATAGAACTTTTTTTTCTGAAACATTTGCTGAGAATGCATTAAATGAAGCTATCATTGGGGATCATATACACATTTAACGAGATTCAGGCTGGTATCCAAGAATTACATATGCCTGAAACAAATGTTTGAAATTGTATTCCTATATATGTGAACTGTATAGCAAAGGTATGAGCCTCTAGAGGCTTCCATTACCCCTTGATTTCTTGCTATGCAAGGCACTTGACCTTCACATATCCAAAGTCCTTAAAGACCAAATACACCACATATTGTGCCAAATTTAATCCAAACCCAAGGTCCTGTGTCCCTTTACAATGTTGTGTGTGAAAGCACAGATTTGGATCAGTGTTTGTTAAAAGTGTGACTGGGGTTTGGGTCTGGGGAGAATCACTCCCTGCCTGGTGGAGATGTGGAACTGCTGCTACAGAACAGCGTTATCAGTCAGGATAAAGATTGCCTCCATATCTCAAACAACCTACTGAATACTTGAAACTCATGTAGAATCACCAGGGATCTCAAAGGAAAACCCTTTCTGGGCAGTATTCCTCACTATTGATTGCTTACTCAGATACTCTGATTGATTTTGGTTTTCTAGCCTCAGCACAGTAATGAATTTTTTTCCTTAAGTCAAGCTGGCATCAGGTTAAGTCTTGGTCAGTGGTGTCTGGATGGTGCTGCCATCCAACACTTCAGGTTAGGTGGTAGCACGGAGAGGGTCTGAAACCTGCCCAGCTGTGCTGCTGGTAATCTGTAGAGCATGACTGACCCATCTTTGTAGTGTTTCTTACCCCAGATTTCCACTTGATTTTTGTTTGATGCCGCTGGGATGGCTGTCCTTAATTGCTGTGACCTAATGCAGTCACAGTTAAAATGGTCCTTACCTTTCACCCACCAAAGGCTTTTATCTTCTTGAAGCCTTTTCTAAAAAGATAACTGACTTAAAGTATCACATGAAAAATAAATCATACCGTGATACTACTTTGACTTTCTGCATCATTTTTTGTCCAATTTCTACTCAGAAGCAGTTTAGCCTTGGTAGAAATATCTCTAAGGTAAATAATGTGAATCATGTATCCATAAACCTTGCCAGAGTTTCAGAAATATCAATTAAAGCTTTTTCTGAGATTACTCAGTGACTTGTGTCATGAAAGCTGACAGCATAAAAATGGCTGTAGCCAAACTTGTAGAAAAGGTATAAATGAATTGGAAATTACTACATGAAAATGATGCCTTGGACCATAATGGGGAAAAATGAAGTCACAGAAGTGTTGAAAAAACCAGAGGCCCTGGTTCTGTAATTCAGTACTAAATATCAGAATTGCATTCATGAATGGTAACAAGATGACTAATAGAGTTAAAATTAAACTATTTTAGAGACATTTCAGAAAGCCACAGGACTAGATGTAATGCTTCAAGCATTATTTCTAGAGTGTTAAAAGCTGCACAAAATGAAAATTTAAAGCTGACAGTGGCCAAAGCTGCCTGCACCAAAGATCATCATTGCAGCAGGATTAATTAAAGCCTGCTTGAGAAGGAGTTGTTAAGGACAAGGTGAGGGGAACAATGGCACAGGGGACAGTAGATCATGGGAATTCCCTCAATTATTGGAGCAGTGGCACTGTCTGATCCTGGGCCATCATCCAGCCCTGCCCTGGCTGTGGGGGCTGCTCAGGAAAGCTGAGTGGGAAAAAGCCCAGCAGTGCTGGTGCCTGGAGTGCAGCTCCAGCTCTGACTCCAATTTGCAGTTACATCATCCCAGTGCTGAGGTTAACCACCATAGCAGCCTGAAGGAGCTGTGGAACTTGTTGTGCTGTTCCTGGATTTATCCTGCATTTTCCCCATTTCAGCAGACAGGCCAATGACCTCAGTCTTGGGGGAATATTGCATGGAAACACATATCTGCTAACCCAAAGGTTTCAGCAGGATACAGAGCGAAACAAATATGCTAGGAGTGTTTCTTGGGCAACATGTGGTTCAGTTCAGACTTTTCAGACCTGCACAAATGATCAGGGTAAGGCTATTTATGTGAATGATCATTAGGAGACACACAGGGGAAAATACTCTGGAGGGGCTGGGAATTAAACTGAGTTACTGGAAGAGAACAGGTTTGCTGAGCTTTCAGGATCATGTATGGAAGTACATGAACTGAAATATTCTTGCAGTAGGATGATTTTAACTGCTCCTGGTGCCTCATTTAAATATAAGGATGAAATTTCTGCAAGCTTTTTGTGTAGACCTGATTCTGCCTATTTAAGGACACAGGACCTTCAGAAAAATCCCAGCTGGGACTCCTCCTGAGAGTAAATTCCTAAAATAACAATCACCAACACAGAGCAGTAATCTGCACCTTTTATTTTTAGACTTATTAAGATCCTGGTGTGGAGGATAACATCAAGTAAGAAAGAGAAAAACATGCATGTGATAATATTTCCAAGCAGTTCCACTGTCACAGACCTATTCCTCTGCTGCCAGGAGGCAAAGAAGCTGTTCCAATAATTCATTACTCACTCTGGCTTTCTTTCTTTATCTTAGGCAAAATATTTATCCCTAAAGAGAAGCCCGTGGAAACACGCAAGGAAGAGAAGGTGACCCTGGATCCAGAGCTGGAAGAGGCCCTGGCCAGTGCTTCTGATACTGAGCTCTATGACCTTGCAGGTTAGAAAACACACAGATGTGATCCTCCCACATGTGCAGCCCTGCTCTGGCCAGGTCTGCCACCAGGAGTGTCCCATGAATGCCCCTCAGGCCCCTGTGCTGCTCTCATGGGTCACACATTGCCCAGGATGGTTGGAGCAGCACTCAGCAGCTGCTGCATTTCAGACTTCTCTGCTAGAAGCTGATGTGTCAGGCCAGGGGGGAGATGAAGCAGCTCATGAGATTTGGGGAAGGGTGGACAGTGCACTGCAGGCTGGGGTGCTGGCACTGTAATGGAAGTGACAGATCCCATTATATCCACATTGTTTGTAACATACTGCAGCCACCTCCTCTCAACTCTGACATCCCAAATAGCCAGATAAACTTGTTACAGTGGATAAAGATCCTGAATCCATGAGGAAATTTGGAATCTAACCCCTTAAATGAGAAAATTGGTTGCCAGGTGATTAGACCTGGGTATCTTCACCACTCTGATTATTTTCCAAGCACATTAGTATCAATGTGCTTCCACTGGAAACCCTGGTGGGAATGGCAATGCATTAAGCTCATCACATGTACAGTGAGATTCTCAGATGCACCAAACAATGGAACATATGAGTAATAAGAAATTCAGGTTGTATATTAGGGAAGGAAAGTGATTAGGAGTGTAGCACTGAAACAAGTTACAGGGAGGTGGTGGGATTTCCATGCCTGGGTGTTTTCAGACTCCAGCAGACAAAGCCATGGCTGACCTCATTAGTGCTGGCAGCGCTCCTGCCTGAGGGAGAGGCTGGACAGGATGACCCGCAGTGGTTCCTTCCAGCTGGCACTTCTGGGATATGCATTCTACATTGACTTGATTGTTCAAAAATCTATATTGGAAGTGTCTGTGTCTCCAGAATTTGGAGCCCAAAGGACTCTCCCTACAAGCAGGCGTGACGCACACAGTTAGCATTTTATAAAGGGGGCTTTGTTTGGGGAACTAAACTACAATTTGTAGCAGACACTTTCCTGCAGTCTGTGCTCCTGTCATTAACATTGTATCCTCTTGCTGCTGTTTACACATTTCAGCTGTTCTTGGAGTGCACAACATGGTCAACAACCCCAAATTTGATGAAGCAGGAGCCCGCGGTAAAGATGGAAAAGGAATTGTGAGAAGTAAGCAAGCAGATTTCTCTTGTGGGCTGCATGTCATCTCAAGGGACTTCTACAGCTGTAGGTGGGCTCTGTTGGTCTAATTTAGTGTAATGTCACTGGAACCAACTTTGATTGATCTAACTCATCATGAAAGGTGACTTTTTTAAAGTAAATATGATCTTAAAATTCATTATAACAAGAGTAGTACACAAACAGATGATTCCTAAGGGAATTTCTTTTCCTAGAGAGCAGTATCTGGCTCTGCAGAGGTGTTTGAAAGAGTGGGAGTATTTAAGAGGCCAAGACATATAAATTTCCATTCCATTTCAGTTTAGGTAGCAGGCAGAAAACCGAGTGAGCTGTGGCTAAGAATTGGCTGCAGTTCAGGCCAGGCCCTTTTGCCCCAAGTACCTGCATTTACACACCTGAAAAATTACTTGTAACCATAAGTAATGTGGTTATTTGAACCACAAGGACTCAAATGTGGCAGAATCCCTGTCAGAGTGACATCTGTGACCAGAGTCACCTTGAGCTGCATTCACAGGGAGGCAAAGCCTGCCTGGATGTGCTCCTGCCCAGCCACTGCCTCTGATCTCCCACCTGCACCTGGCTCCTGGGGCAATGGTGCCAAGGGTGCTGTTCTGTGGCTCCCTAGGGACACAGGAAATGGAATCATTCTGGAAATCCCCCAAGAGAAACAGCTGCAGTTACTAAAAACAAATCCAGAAATGTTTGCACTAAATAAACAGACCTTTGGTGAATCTGATCTGAGCTCACAGCAGCCCACAGGAGGCTGGATGGAGGGAGAAATGGAGCATCTGAATTCCAAGCTTTCCTTGAGAGCTGCCAAGCCTTGATCCACAGCTTGTCACCTCCAGGCCCTGGATATCTAATGGGCTTAACTTTGCTTTTTAAGACGGAACTGTGGAATGCCCGCTCCTAGGGAAACAGTACTCAAAAAATGTTTTCTTCTTCTCAGGCCATGAGAAGAGCAGCTATCTGTACCAAGGGCTTTCCTTTCCATCTTCCATTGCTGAAGGGGAGGTGGGGAAGCAGACAGGACACCGTGTCACTTCATTTTTCTCAGGATAAAGCTGCTCTGCAGGCCTTCCCAGTGGGGCCCTGTGTGAGCTGCCATCTATCTCATAACAGGCAACTGCCTGCATTACTAATCCTCCTAGATTTCAGAATATTTTTGTTACACTAAGTCAAAAAGTCAGCTATGTGAGTCAGCTAAACTATGCTCCAATCACAGACCTATGAACCAGAAAATCACCATCACATCACTATTCTTTGGTCCAAAAGCAATACCTTTCCTTAGCCAAGAGAAATGCTCCAGTAAAAATTTGCTCATCAATGTGGCAAAACAGCACCATGATTAAAGAAACAAGAAAAACTCATGGAAAGCAACAAGAAGTAGAAAATGAAAATTCCTCCTGGCTCTAGCCTGAGTACACTGTGATGTCTAACCTGAGGACAGGGTGTTTGTGTCTGCCCTGCTCCCAATCTGGCAGGGTGTTGCCACAAGTGCAAAAAATGCTTTGCTTTTTTTTGTTTACTTTCTGTCCTTGCATCCCAGGTGAATTCTCTACATGTGGTTTTCAATTCCCAGCTCCCTAGAAAGGCTGAAGAGTTTTTAGGGATATGTGAGGTCTCTCAGGAAATTAGTAAAAAACAAGTTTGGCATCAAAGGGAGCAGAGTGAAAACCAGCTCAAGATTTGTCTATGACCATCTCTACTATGAGTATGAACCCTAAATTGGATGTGGTTTTCTTTGGGCCATGATATGACATGAACCTTTACCCATTGCAATGAACAGCAATGTGTACTACTACACTGAGACTGAACACAAGTCTTCAAGACCTCTGCCTGTCTGCAGCATGAAATAAAAGGATTCAAACACACTTGTGGTCAGCAGCATTCTAGTGGATTGGGAGGTCAGGGTTAATAAATTAATCTCCACCATTGTATGTGTGGGAATTGGAAGTACTAATTATGTTCTAAGCTATGATTTTTATGCATCTCTGAGAATATTTATAGCTCATAGCTTCCAGCACTAAATACCACAGTTCTTTGGAACATGACTACTCAAAGATTTCATAAATCTTGATGCTGGCAGGCAGACTTACTTTTCATGCTTTGATGGTTTTATTATTTTAAAAGTGCAGATGTTGCAATTTTACAAGGGCTAATTGAATTTATGGTAAGCTGAGATAGTATCAGCTGAGAGGAGGAAACTGAGGGGCCTCCTGCTCTCCTTGCTTTATGTAGCACAGTCTATTCCTAGGTGCAGGGACATTTTCTCACTACAGTGGGCAAGGTCTGAGCACACCTTTCTTTGCAGATATTAGACACAGTACAAAGCAGCCCTTGCAGTATATCACATCCCAAACAATACTCTTCAAAGCTGCTTTGGCTGCAGTTAATTGTGCAGGGATTTTATATGAAGGAGGAGTTTGCCCTTGACAATGCTGCCCAGCCTGCCTGACCTCAGGCTCCAGTGCCAGCTCTGGGTGCACAGGGGGTGCAGAGGGCATGGCAGGGATAAAATGGGGATCATACTCCTACCTGCAGGTTTTGTGGCTCTCACAAACCCTTCTGGATTGCTGCAGTACAAACCTAAATGGGAATGGAACAGCCAGAGGGATGGTGCCTGTTCCTAGGCTGACATTTCATGGGATTTTGTGTTGCAGATGTGGTGAAAGGTGAGAAGGTCAAGCCCATCTTTGAGGAGCCACCTAATCCAACCAATGTGGAAGCAAGTTTACAAAGGATAAAAGCAAATGATCCCAGTCTCACAGAAGTTAATCTCAACAACATAAAGGTAGATGCTGTGGTTTTGTCCATGTCATCATAGGAGGATTTATTCAAATACTTCCAAAGCCTATGCCTTTTATCCTCATATTTTGTCTCTCTTTACTGTTCAGAATAAGCAGGGCATGCAGGGAAGGGGTGGGGAAAGGACTGCTGTAGAGGCTCCAAGGTCATCAGTTCCTGATCATCTTGAATGAAATGCTGATTAAATGCCCCAGGGGTGACTCCCTTTGGCTGCCTTTCTCAGCAGATTGTGAAGGAAGATCTCTCGTGGGTACTGTGCAATCACCACTGGCCAAATTCAATCAGCCCACACGGGCAGGAGGAGGAGGAGGAGCTGGCATTGGAGACTGCACAACTGGCAGAGGAACAGAAAGTGGCTCAGAGAGGGTCACGTGCTGGCCTTGGCCTGACCCACTTCTGGGCAGTGCTGGCATCTCAGGCACCTCCAGCCTCTGGGGGCCACTGTGCCCACTCTGGAAACCATCCTCAAACCAGCAGGGGTGTTTCCTTTGCATAGATTGTGCTTGTTCATCAATCAGTTTCATAATAATTAAAATCAGCAGTGTGATTGCCTTTCCTAATCACTGGATTTGTCTTTTACCCTAGAATATTCCTATTCCAACACTGAAAGATTTTGCAAAAGCTCTGGAAACCAACACACATGTGAAGACATTCAGTCTTGCAGCTACTCGAAGCAATGACCCCGTAGCCATTGTAAGTTTCAACATTACTGGGAAATAAAAAAACCACAACAAATTTTAAGTAGGTCCATGTCTGCTTTAGGATACATTCTTTATTTTCCCTTGCAGGAATTCCCTATGGCTATGAAAAGCAGAAATATAATCTCTTCTGATCTACCTCTCCATTCTTCTAAGCATATTTATGCTTTATTTATTGTTGATGCTAAGCTCTGTTTTTCAGATTCCTTGCTATTCCCTGAAACTTTCAAGATGTTCTCTCATGTTCCCTCTTTTTGCCCCTTCAGGCATTTGCAGATATGTTGAAAGTGAACAAAACACTGAAGAGTCTGAATGTAGAATCCAACTTCATCACTGGGACAGGGATTTTGGCACTGATTGATGCACTGAAAAAGAATGAATCCCTAACAGAGATTAAAATTGACAACCAGGTAAAGAGAGAATGTTGGGGAAGGTCACTTTTATTTCTTTTGATATTTTGAGGGTTCTACCAGGGACTCTGGCAGAGTCAAGGCAGCCTCTGTGGCTCAGTCATGTCCCCAGTCAGTGCAACCAAAGGGTGGAAAACTTCTCAATAAATCTACTCAAAACCCAGGGCAAAATCCCCAGGGATGGGATTCTCTTTGTAGTTTGCAGCCCAGCACTTAAATGCAAGCACTTACTTCTCTCTGATATGAATGCAAATGTTTCCTTTTCTTTTGGGGACACTTCATCCCCAACAGAGGCAGCAGCTTGGGACAGCTGTGGAGATGGAGATTGCCAAGATGCTGGAGGAGAACTCCAGGATTCTCAAGTTTGGATACCAGTTCACAAAACAAGGTCCAAGAACCAGGGTAGCAGCAGCTATCACTAAAAACAACGATCTGGGTAAGCTGGCACTGCATTTACTCATCATTTCTTTGTGTGAGCCCAGCCCTGACCTTCCCAGGCACAGCTCTCCCTGTCTGCTCATTCAGATGGAATTTTGACCACAGCGTTATTCACACTGCTCCGTGTAAGGGGAGAGGCAAAGCTCCTCAGCTCTAGAGCAGAAAACAGCAAAGATCTTACTGGGATTAGGAGCCACTGTTTTTCTCCTGCTCCTTCTGGGAAGTTATTTCAGCCTTTTCTATGGAGTGTCCTAAATTTCTCACTGCTCTATCAGCTGTTCTGGGTAGTAAATGAGGAGTCAAACCCATCCTGTTTTCTCACAGGACACAGAAGCCCTGACTTTGTTGTCCAGCCTGCCCAGCCAAGGGACCAAACCAGACCCTCCTGTTTTGTGACCAAGGACAGGCAAAGAAAATAAACCCCTGCAAGTGTCACCTGAGTGTAACATGCTCTGCCCTCAGTACACAGAATACACAGGAGTTGACTGGGCAGAAGAAATTTAGAGTGAGAAGGGGAAAAAAGAAATTAACTTTGTATTTTTAATCAGTTCTGCTTCAGACTGGGGTATCAAACCATGATGTCTTTGTGGGAACTAAGATAAAAGTTGAGCTAAAACCTTTTTCTTTCATGCATACTTTTAGAGGTTTGAAAATTTTAGCAATATCTAAGCATTCCAATTATATACTATTTTTCCTAAAACTATCAGAGTCCCAGAAGTATGTGAAATATCTACAAATAGAGAAAAACCCTTTTTCCCCATTATTTCACCACTTGTCATTAGACTTATATCCTAATCTTTATTTTCCTCTGTTTGTGTTGTTTGGTTTTGTTCAAGATTTTGTAGGACAGAATTCCTAAAAGAATTCAATAAAATTAACAAAACACTGAAAGCAGACACAAATGACTGATACTACACCGCAGGCTTTGGAATAATGCAATCTTTTTGCCAAAAAGGCATGATTAAAAAAAAAAAACCTCCTCTTTGTAAAGTAATGAGATGTTTAGTAATATATTGTTGTTATTGACTTTCTGTGGTGAAAAGCATTCATCCATCAAGTTCTACTGCTTTGTTCTGTGCTTCAGCCATTCAATATCAGAAGCAGGACATGACACTAAATTTTCTATCACACAAACAGGAGAACCTCACAAATCTTATCTGGCCAGGTCAGAAAAGACTCAATGCATTTTATTAGAATGTGGAGTAGCAAAGCTGCCCAACTAAACCTGCTCTATACCAGGTATAATGTATCTTAAGTGCTATAAAAATTCACACTTGTCAGAATAATCCTGCCCATAACACAAGGTTTACCACTCTGCTTTTCTAAATGGCAACTTCAACCTATGTGGTTTCCAGTGAAAAAACAGAGTTAATTAACTGATTATCAAATGCAGTCAGAGCATGTGAAGTTTAAACAGGTAATTGAAGGTCCAATATATGTTTTGCCAATATTAACAGATATTGGTACTTCAGAGTACTTCAAATTATTTTCTAAAAGAATATGACTATTGCTCACCCATAATATACACTGTGCAATTACAGAAGTCATTAATTTTTGATGCCTAAAGCTTAAATAATCCAGAGCCCTGCAGACTAGAGCAGACCAGTATCAATTTAGCTGGAACACAGGGTCATTTAAAAGAACAATAAAACCGTAATAAAATCTAAATGGAGTCACTGGAAGGAAGTGCAGGAAGTGGTGATTCTTTAATCATCTAAAACCTTTATCTCAGAATGTGATTTTTGTGGAAAATGTACTGATGTGAAATTTTGGTGAAATTTTACAGTCTGCGATACAAAAAATGCAGTTTGGGTGCAATTATTTTGTTGAACATGATGGTATATGGTACATATTGATTATGGTAATTCTTGTGAGCGTTTCCTAGAAGCTGCTCCCTTCTGTGCTGGTTGCATTGCTGGGAGGGGGGTCTGTGCCCTCAGGGAGGCAGTGCTGACTCTCCTTGTTGCCCACAGTGCGCAAGAAGCGGGTGGAAGGGGAGCGCCAGTAGCCACGGGACACCAGGCACGACTGGAGAGCACCACCACTGCAGCCCCAGAGTGCTCACTGCTCAGAGGGGAAGGCGCTGGAAAACTATTGCAATGGGAGTTGCTGATTTCTGTCAATGTCTCTCCTTTTAACCTTGAAAACAGAGCCTGCTCATTCCTAATTTTTGTGGTTAATTTAATTCTTATTGGAAAGGTCCATAGTTGGTTTGATTTTAATGAAGGAAATGGTTTGCAGTATCTGAAGCCAATATGCAGCATCTTAACTGTGTTACTGAGCATAATATATAGTGACTCTGACCCTTATTTTAGACACTTTTTGATATATAAAAATATCACCTTGTATATGGATAAGGGATTCTCTGCTGAAAATAGAAATTTTAGGGCCAAGTTCTGCAATGCCTTATGTTTGTGAATAATCCTTACCCGTGTGTATAGTCCTGCTGAACTGAATCCTGCAAAGGGCTGCTCCCAGGAGTAGAGCTAGTGATGCCAGTACAGGTTTGCAGGTTCCCACCCCTGAGCCTCTCTCCTGCAGGGACCTGGGCAGCTGGAAGCACCTTGGAACAGCTCCTGTCCCCCCTGGTGGGTCTGCACCCGCCCAGCTCCCTGTGCAGGGTCACGCCTAGACGTGCAAACATTGTCAAAGCGTACTTGTTTACATCAGCTTAGGTTAGCTGGATCATTTTGCAATGTTACACTGATGTTTTTTATTCTTACTCCACATTGTAAGGTAATATTAGTACTGCCAATCCTGTAGACATTGAATGTTTTGGGTTTTTTTCCTAGGCCAATGAGTTTTTGTTTGCTACTAGAATGCACAGTTTACAGCTAGTGATCTTAACCTAAACAAGTATTCTGAGCAATATTTGCTTTGAGCCATGAGTTTGACTTTTTTAGTTCTGTATTTATGTACATTTGTTAGCATTATAGGACTGTTCTCAGGATCTTTTAGATGAAGATTAATTAAATGCTTAATCCAAGAGAGCCACTGTGCTACCAGGGAAAAAAAAAGACATTAAAGGGGTAGTTTGGACAGCCACATGACTGACATTCACATGCTGCAGCTGAGTTTTGTCCCTGTATCACAAGGCACATGAGTATTTGTGCCAGTGCTTGTTGTCACCTTATCACAGGGGTTCCATACTGCTGTCTCCCTATCACAAAAGTTCCATACCTTCTTGGTGTTTCTCATGGGCATCTCCTCAGAGCACTGACTTTCTGCCTCACAAAACAGCCAACTAACCCCCAACTCCCTCCCCACCCAGCCACCCCACTCTTTTATGGCATCTTCTTCCCATTGCTTACAGCTGTGGCCTGGTAAAGTCAGGCCTGTTCCCAATCTTTGATAATTGGCCCAGCTGCAACTCCTTAGGGGTGAGATTACTTTCTACACTACCTTTTTTTTTTCTTATATTCTATTCCCCTACAAGTGCTTATTTGAATAAGGGCAGATTTAAGCACATGCTTTGCTAAATCATGGCCTTAACTGATGTGCTGGACAATTATCCTAGCCCAGTGGGAAGCACTCACAGAGCAGCAGCTAACCTCAATGCTCAACAGCATTGAAATTTCAGTAAGATTGCAGTCTGATGTTTCATTTTGTGTAATTCACCATCTAAAACTACTCTCTGCCACAGTTGTATCACTGCCAACAGCTGACCAACAGCCAGAGGTGCATGCTGTGAGAGCCTAGGGATGCTCAGGTCAGGTGTGTCACACACCCCAAGCTTTCAGGAAGCTGCAGAAATGCTCCTGCAGCCAGAGCTGCAGCACAGTGGCATCTCTGAGACAGGGCTGCACACCACAGTCACTGCAGGATGCTCCTGAGCCAGCAGGGACTGTGGGGGCACTGGGATCAGAGACCTGGTGATGCTTGGCACAGTTCCCTGAGTGATGTTGCCACCTTGCTGAGGTGTGAGCTAACAGGATGAACCCTCCCTCTGTGCCTTTTGTAAGGGAAATGAGAAGGTCCAAGGCAATGCTCTTCCTGTTGGGTACTGGTCTTTGTAGTGGGGTCCAAAGTGAATAACACTCACTGAAATCCCACTTAAGATACTTGGCTAAAGTGGTCTGCTGAGCTGGGATGTAAAGTGCAGCAGCCACAGTTTACTTCCCTGAGAAGTCTCTACAATTTACTTCCCTCCCGGTCTCTACAATTTCCACTTATCCCTTCCTTAGAATAAACTGAAACCTTTGCTTTGCAAGTAAAAAACAAAACACACAGGGGAGCCTTGCTAAGGTTTTCTCTGGATCCATGCAGGATTTGATGTGAAAAACTTTGATCTTCCATTGAAAAAAAAATTACAAGTTCTGTAATACAGTCATAACTCTGCATGGGCTCAAATAGAATCCTTAAAAACCATTTGGATTACAAGGGGAATACTGGGCTTTGCACCATGAATTTTTATGGGTGGGAAGAATCCTCATCCACAACACCTAAAGATTATGTTACTGCTAACCTCCAGTGATAGGAATCACTCTGCCCCTAATTTCTTTTTCTTCTCCTTTAATCCAACCAAGGGAATCCCAATTATCAATCAATCATTTGAAGATATTTTTATGGTTATTTTTTCTTTCTTAGTGGTACGTGTCTGCGTTCAAGGGAAACAAGTGCAATCCATTTCTAGTCTTAGCTGCCATTGACAGTGTTGGTGTTTGCATGCAGCAGTTTCACAAGGATGGGCTGGTCTGACTGCTCCATGGTGTCTGCAGCGTCTGTACAGCTTTGCTCAGAGCCACACATGTCCTTACACAGCCAGGGGAGTTCTGCAGCCCCAGTTTGCACCATGGACTGAGGTACCTGGCTGGGTGGTACCCAGCTCTGTGGCTCTCCATCCCTTCACCTGCCCCTTGCACAGCCAGGGTTCCTCTGCAGGGAGGAGCCTCAGGGGGATCATCTCCCACACCAGCCCCACCATGAGCAGGCAGAGCTGAGCACTCCATGGCCAGGAGCTGGAGCCAGCTCCTTCCAGCAGGGTGAGCAGAGCTCCCAATCCCTGGCTGTTCTCTGCAGGCAGCTGCTGCCAGCCCCTGCCAGGGGGCTCAGGGACCAGAGATGTCTTGGTTCTGTCTCCTCTGTGTGCTCCACACAAGGCCTGGGTTCTCACCAGCCTTGAGTGTCCCAGGTCAGACATTCCAACAATATAAATATCTGGTGGATGCAACAGCAGCACACAGTGGTGATGCTTGGAGGCAGATTTTAATACAAATACAGGATTATTTATCTGGTTAAAAACCTCTGCAACTAACATGAAGGGGGACAGGATGTGACCAGTTATTTCATATCCTACTTTCAGGCATCTGGCATTGTCAATGCTGAATGGGGAGCAAGGACAGAAGAGTCCCTTTTTCTTAAGCAAACATTCAGGAGTAACTGTCTATTTTTGCACATTGCTTCTCGTGTTGACTGCTTCAGTTTGGTTTGTATTTTTTATACAGATTTTTCATGGAAAAGCTCAACTTTGTGTGTGTCCTACCATCCCTGTGAAGTGTAGTGTGCACTGAGGACCATGTGTGTACATGTATCAATGACAGTGTTAGCTCTGGAACAAAGTAATTGCATGCGCACGGTGTGGTGCATATTGCTCAAGAGGAGGAGAATTACCATGCTATGTAACAGTGACTCCCCAGCATTGTGGTTTTTTCTAAATAAACCTTCACAAATGATTTGGATTTTGCAATTTTTCATGGGTTTGTGACTTGAATCGAACCCCCGTTGTTGCTATGATATCAGATTAAATTGCTTTCTCCTCTGTGACTCTTGCAGCTTTCCTGGATTTCCCCTTCCCCTCTCAGGTGGAGAGACTGGTGGTATTTCCTGCCCTCGGTTCTCCAGAGCCTCAGCAATTTCCATGTGACACCTCATTAGAATTTGACGCCAAGACACACCAATTTCTTTCACATTATGCCCAGTTCTAAGGTTCAAGGGGCTCAAGTGCATTGCAGGGTGCCTAAAGGCCTGAACTGAGTTAATGATACGGTTAACGTGGCCCTTAGAACCTGTGCTGCATGACAAAAGAGCTGCCAAATGCACATAACTGCACGGTGCATAAGGACAATTGAAAAGGAAATGTCATTTCCCCACAGACAATTTGCTCTCCACAATCCCAGAGAACTTCACAGTTAACCCACGGAGAAACAAAATATCTTTTCTACCTATTTTAAGACCACCTTTACTTATGTCAGTAGAAATCTCACAGTATCTTTCTTCTTTTCATCTCAATGTAAACAAGTGGATGAGACTCTTCAAGAAAATGAGGAAATCTCATACTGAAAGAAGAGGGGGTATCTGTGTCCCAGTGTGTGGTACTGCTGGGATTTGCAGAGCCTAAATCAGAAGAGAGCTCATGGGAACGATGCAGCACAATTCCCAGATGCTCAGTCACTAGGGAACCAGAGAATACAGCTGCAGAGAGGCTCATGAGGTCATGCACTCCATTTCCTATCTCTCAGAGTTTTATTTCTACATAATTCATAGCCTTTACCAAAAGCCCAGTTTTGGTCCTGCATCCCTTTCACTACAGGGGTTGTGCTCAATTCCCTTGGGATTTTGAATACAAATGCAGTATGTACCAAAGAACACAGATACTGTATCCCACCTTATCACTCTGCACCTTTATTTTAGGAATCAGCTTCTCCCCTTGCACTCACCTTTTTCAGAATGGAAGTTTCAAGAATGGAAGTTTCATATACTGAAAAATAATGACTTTACAAAGAGAGGATTGATACTATTCCTAATCTCTGAGCATGCATCTTTCTGTCTTTCCTATTCCAATCAATCAGTTCAATCCTCTCCCAAGCCCGAGCAACAACAGTGCAAACCCCAGTGCTTCATATTCTACCAGGAATGCCAGGTCATTTTCCCCATGAATATGATATGGAGTGACAGTTCAGCTGTCGAACTGCAGGAACCTGCAATCCCCACTGCCCACCCACCCCTGCTGCTGCCATGCAGAAGGTCCCTTGCTGGTGTTCTTTTAATGCACCTACCAAAAAGTAAAATCTCAATTTTGAATGAAACAGAGACTCTAGGGAGTTTTAATGCAATATCAGAGAATGGTGTGCAAGCTGACTAAATCTTGTGCCCTGCTCTGTTGGCTGATGTGTTTCTGTGGGCACAGCCAGGAGCTCTGTGCTCCCTGCCCAGCACAAGCTGCTGCCAAACCCACAGCAGGCTGGCACCCAAATGCAGTGCAAGGAGAGCACCACAGGGCAAGTGCTGTGCTGGGGATGGGGCTGTTGGACAGGAATCAAATAGTTCTCAAGTCAACATTTTGGATATTTTACTAGAGGACAGCATTTGCACATTAAACCCAACAATCTGAGTGGTCAATGGGCTTTGAGGCTTCCTTCTGGAGGGGGTGGGACAGGGGCAAAGCACCAGTGAAATTGTGTTCAGCTGGTTCCCAGCCACAGCAAAGTGCTTTAAATATTCATGGTTTTCCTGTCTATTCCCATAAAGCAGATGACCACAAACAAAAGCAGCACAAGGGGCCTCTCTTAATGAGGGTCTGTGTGTTTCTTAGAGCAGCTGTCTGACTTTATTGCATCTGACATTAGGTAGACTCATTCAGTGAGCAAGGGAGGAGAAAAAAAGGCCATCAGATAAAGCAATTGCATTATTGTTTCACAGTCAATCTTTTCTGATAATGACTGCATTGATAATAAATTGAAGAGAGTCTGGAAGCAACATTCCCTAGTTACAGAATTATTTCTCAGCTGTCACCACAGATGCAGGTCACCTAAAATCTGCTTAGATCTCAATCTGTTGGTGAACATTAAAGAATTCCCCAGGCCTGAGAATCTTGCATTAATTCTTCCACTTGTCCATAAAAATGCTGTATAGTCATCATTCATTCAAATGGCTTTAAAAGCTTTCAGATGATCATGGTGGAGAAGGAGGTCACTGTGCCCAGTGTCTGCTGAACCAGGGCATTGGCATTCAGGGTTAGTTTGTACTCAGCAATGCTGGCAACCCTGCACACACTGCTGTTCATCACCCTGATGAAGCAGATTGCTCAGAGATCTAATGTGGTTTTGTATTATAAC